AGTGCACACCTGATACACACACACACGGACACACATGAGGTACACACCCTGTAACATTCCATTGTAAAACTGCTTAATCGAAGTGAAGCATTCGTGCCTCTGAAATACTCATTAACACATTTAATCTTTTTTTCCCCTCTTCTAAGAACACGCCAAGAACTGCATTATGCCAACACCTGGATGGAGCTGCTCAGGTACAGACATGAACAGGCATGTATCACTGGCATGAAACTGGGTCAGTGTGCCAGTGCGAGTGTGAGTGAACATGAACTAAATGTTGTGCGAAAACAGAATAAATTAGATTAGAGTGAGACTTAGTTAATGAAATTAAGAGCTCCTGTATCAGGCGAAGACTTCTCGTTTCGCCACACAAACAAACACACCGTGTCTCAAAACCCGGCCTTCTGAGAACAGCTAGACAACTGTGAAGGGCAATCAGTCAACACCTGAATCTTGACTGGTGTTGAATGATGCCAGAATGAAGACATGATATTCCGTAGTGACTATGATGCCATAATGTCAACAAAGTCAAAATTATGTAATGGACTTACCCTCTCTCCTTTGGGGGGGAAACACTGGCAGACCCTGCAGTCTCGACCATCGCACCTTTCTGTCTTGTCTCCCTAAAACACAGTTTCAGAATATAGTTACAGAGATAATATACAGAGAAATATAGTTTCAGAAATGGAGTGAAACACTCATACACATGTAGGCTCATAAACACTAGGCATTCAGGATGGAAACTCACTAATTATCTGTATCAATATTTCAAAGTTTTAGAAGTCAACATTCATTCATACAGGTATATATGACCCTGGACCACAAAACCAGTCATAAGGGTCATTTTTTTTAAATAAGTAAATAATAGTAATATAATTAGTGATCGACCGATATTGATATTTTATAACCGATACCGATACCAATTATTTGCATGTTTATGTGCCTGATAACCGATATGCAGAACCGATATTTATTTACTGTTATAAAGTAAATAAATGACTGAGTGAAGTAAGTCCATACTTCACTTTGGTTTTTCCTACTTTCAGTCATCTTAAAAAAAAGTGTTGAAAATTAGCAGTCTTTCATGTTAAATTTAATCTTCACATTATTTACAAAATATCTTCATGGAACATGATCTTTACTTAATATCCTAATGATTTTTGGCATAAAAGAAAAATCGATAATTTTGACCCATACAATGTATTGTTGGCTATTGCTACAAATATATCCATGCTACTTAAGACTGGTTTTGTGGTCCAGGGTCACATAAAATGTATCAATTTTCAACATTTTCAACTTCTTTGTGTTCCGAGATTCCGCCTATTATCTATGGGAGGTAGATCTTTCTCTGTTATGGCTCCCAAACTTTGGAACACATTGCCCCTGGCTCTCCGGACAATAACCACACTCCACGAATTTAAGTCTAAACTCAAAACCTATATGTTCTACCAATATTACCTGTTATAATGTTTTTTTTTTTTTATTATTATGATACTGTATTATTACTGTGGTTTGCAACTGCAACCACATGTTCTGGACTTGGAAAATGTCTTGTCCATGTATGTAGGAATGTATTTGTTTTTGTCATTGTGCAGTGTCCTTGAGCTTGGGAAAGGCGCTATATAAATTCAACTTATTATTATTATTACTAAATACATAAACAAAACAAAATGTTTAAATATACTAATTAATTTATTTCACGATTATTTAGTTTCATATTTGGAATTTTAATTAATTCAATTTACTAAATGTTTAAATTTATATTCATTTATTGTTTACCGTTCCTTCAGGAAAAATATGTTTCAAAAAATCAACGTAAGATAAAACTTGAAATGCACAACTTAATACTTTTTCTTACTTTGCTCAAAAATAACTCTGAATTATTTTATTTAACCAGAGGTGCTATCATGAATAACCAAGTTTCATACAATGCAAAATAGAAGTTTTATTCCAGCTACAATAGGCCAAGATCAGCGTCAACTTTTTCACATCATGTATCGTACATCACAAATTGCCATGTTTTTGATAGGTATCAGTACATGTGATGCTTGTCTCGTCTACTCCAGGGTTTTTGAAAATATATTTCCATTGGTTGCACAGCAAACTAGACTAGACGACGAGAGATCCACAGACATACATGTGACCTAACAAGCACAATGGCAGGAATGTAAACAAAAAGATAATGAAAGAGATAGAGAAAGAGACACAAAGACAAAAAAGAGATGGGAGGCACAGACTGAAATATGTGAGCACATCAAGTACAAGCGGGAGAGGAAATTTAGGTCAGATGTGTTATGTCTGTTTGGAGGTAGTCAACCACGTAAAGAGAGGAAGAGAGAGAGAGTGATAAACCGTACTTGCAATCAGACGCCATTCTTTCACAAAAGCACACTTATCGCACATGCATGCGCAGTGTCTAAACATAGACAAACATCTCAAATGAACATGTGATGCACAGAAAGGCACAAAATCACTGTATCAAACTTTCACATTTACTGTTCCCCTATGGTTGAATGATCTTTCCACTGTACAGCAATGGACAGCTCAGTCCTTTGCAATATGCAACAACGCATCTCTTCCATGAGCTCTTTCTTGAAGCAGTTCATTATTTTCATTTCTTTGCACACAAAATGTATTCTTGTAGCTTCATAAAATTACGGTTGAACTACTGTTGTCACATGGACTATTTTAAACTATGTCCTTACTACTTTTCTGGGCCTTGAACATGTCAGTTGTGTTGCTGTCTATGCAGGGTCAGAAAGCTCTCGGATTTCATCAAAAATATCTTAATTTGTGTTCCAAAGATGAACGAAAGTCTTACAAATTTGGAACGACATGAGGGTGAGTAATTAATGACAGAATGTTCATTTTTGGGGTGAACTATCCTTTTAATCTGTCACTTCTGGCCAAAAAGCGACATCATAATGACATCCATAATAACGCTTCCTCCAGTGAAAACGTTAGTGCCCTGTTGCCCGCTCACATCAAAATCTATCGATACATTTGTTTAGAAATGTTTTGAATGGCTTTTGCTTGTAAACGGTGCTTGATCTCTGCATATTTCTCTCCTGATTCAGACGAGACAACTTTTACACTGGAGAAAGCAGTATTATGGATTATGGACTTGTATTTTAGCCGGTTTGAAGTTAAAACCCATCTTAATGAGGAATTTGTTTCTTACAAACATGCAGCTTTTTACTTCATAAGATGTTATGTGTTTGTGTGGATAACCTGTAGACTATTGTGATGTTTTTATCAGCTGTCTGACGGCACCCATTCACTGAAGGGGATCCATTGGTGAGCAAGTGATGTAATGCTAAATTTCTTCAAATCTGTTCTGATGAAGAAACAAACTCATCTACATCTTGAATGGCCTGAGGGTGATTTAATTTACAGGAATTTTTCATAATTTTTTATATTTTTGCTGATGTTGATTCCTTCAATAAAACAACTCTTCTTTTATGCTTTTAAGATTTCTTAAATCCCTGCCTGTTCTAACTGTACTGTTCTACAAAACGTTTGAAACTTTGTATTGTCAGTACTTCTTATGCTATTGCCTTCTTGAAAATCACTTTGTTATTTTTATTCACTGGGAGGTTCTTTGAACAAAATAAATAAATGTTAAGTCACAGTTAAAATATTTCCTTCTGGATGATTTTCAATTCAGAGCTCATGGAAAAATCTGCACACTTTAACAACAACAAACAACTCTTCCACATTTTGGCAAGGGGACTCATACTGTACAGCATGTTAAAATTTACCACAAGCGATGTCATTTAAAAGGGTAAAAGTCCAATCTCTCACAACAAAGACACATGGAAGTCTGAAGGGCACACAATGATTATGCATGCCACAAATTCATGCACTCATGCAAACTCGTGCAAAGGTATACGATATTTTACAAAGTAATTTTGTTCTTAAACTGTGCCAAAATCAACACGCTGAGTATAAAGGAGAGAAGAGATTGGATTGAATCTTATTCCACAAAAAAAGGAGGGCCAGTTAGTAGTGATTCTAAAAATCACACAATATATGAATACTGATATATTAGAATGATTTCTGAAGGATCATGTGACACTGAAGACGGGAATAATACTTCACAATATTAATGTTTTTTAATCTTACTGAACCTAACATTTTGAACGGTAGCATATATACTATATATGCATATGCAACACATATTTAATAGCAGATGTTTTAAAGGGGTTGTGACCTACACAAGAGTTAATGGTTTTAAGTGCTGGGTGATGACATCAACTGGTTTGAGATGATGCGTGCTGACTGGCTGATAAGCATAACTGCATGCTTCACTCCAAGTCAATCAGATGTACAAGACTGAGAGTTGGTACGATGCTGCATGACTGAAAGACACGCTTCCCCTATTCCCTCACTTCTTCTGTCTTGCTCCCTCCTTTTCCATCCCTCTTTCCCTCATGTTAGCTGTACTGTGCATTGTCCCGTCACCATCACAAACTTAAGTTATTTGAGATTGAGTTACACTTGATCCTGGCTTATTTCCACTTGATGATGTTAAGTTGGAGTTTGGTTTTGTCTTAAAGGATCAAGCTATGATCTAAGTCTTGGTCTTCAACAAAGTATGTAACAATATAACAATACTAGGGCTGCACGATAAATCGCATGCGATATTTAATGCGCATTTCGTCAGTAAAGCCGCTTCTGTAATCAGCGGTAAATCTCCATCAACAACGGCTCTGTGTAGTAAATGCTGCTCAATGTGAAACCTCGCAAGATGCGCATTAAATATCGCAGGCGATTTATCGTGCAGCCCTAAACAACACCATAAAACAATATCTTAGGAAGTATGTAAGTAATCTTAGGATTTAAGCTTTGGTTTTGTGTAAATGAAAAGCCACATCAAAGCCACTTTCCAAAACAGCACTTTCAACATTTTCAACAGCAAATTCAGCCCAAAAAAATAAAAAATAAAATAGTAATAATACAATACAGTTCAAAACTTTGGGGTCAATAATATTTTTCAAATAAATTAAAGTTTTCTTTTTTTTTTTAAATAAATGCCATTCTTTTCACCTTTCCACTTATCAAAGAGTCCACAAAAATATTTAGCAGCACTACAGTTTTCAAGACTGATAAGAAATGCTTCCTGAGCACAAAATCTCCTCAACTGCAATAATAGCAACATTACCATTTTTACTGTATTTGTGATCAAATAAACGCAGCCTTGGTGAGCCTAAGAAACTCCTTTCAAAAGCATTACAAATTCTTACCAAACCCAAACTTTTAAACAGTATTTTGGAGCCGAGCAAAGCCACAAAAATTAATATACAAACTACAGATATTTTCATGTCTTTTTTTTTTTTATTGTACCCCATCGTAATGACTTTTCAAGGTCTGGAAATCACAAATCCAGTGGTACTGATTTACAAGAATTTATGTATTGAGACATTTGGGTGTGTTTAAAATCTTTTTCTTTCTATACCTTTCCCCCATCCATCTGCTCTTCCCTACCTGTACACCCGCTTTACTCTGCACCTCCGACAGGATGTTGACCAGGCAGCCAATCAGAGACATTACAGCAGATAACTCTTTGGGCTAAATGAGTAATGTTGGCCTATGAATTGGGCTGGACAAACAAATTGTGCCTTAATTTGTGAATACATTGCAACCCACATAACTACCAGTTGAAAATTTGGACACAGCTGCTCCTTTTTTTTTTTTTTACATTTTGCAATAACAGCAAAAGTCATCCAACTAGGAATTTGGAACAATGAGAAATGTCTAGGTCGGCAAATGTTTAAAAAAACAAACCCAGCTTATTTAAACCAATTTATATTTGTCTGCTCTAATTCCAAGCATTTTAAGCCTTTAGATCAAAAGGTTTGAGAGCTCATGTGAAACAAACTCAAGTGTGTCCAACTTTTGACTGGTACTGTAAATTGTCAGGTTAAAAGTTACTCCTTCATGCACCGAGTCAGAAAATTTACGCATGTCAGTCATCTAAATGAGGGACAGGATGTGTGCATGTGTATGTGCGGGTATGTGTTTCTGATAACTTTTTCTGTGTGTGTGTTCGTGTGTGTGTGAGGAAGCACCTGCTTTGTGACACCTGGTCATTTTTGTTCAGGTTTACAACAGGTTTAACCCCGACCCCCTTCACACAGAATCAGACAGAATGCCTTAGGCAAAATCATCAGTGCAGGAACCTGCATCTGTGCCATCAGTACACTCTCACTTTTCTGCTATTCCAGAACGTCCTAAAAATGCTGGCATTATTGACCCACCCTCATGTCGTTCCAAACCTGTATGGCTTTCTTTCTTTCTTAAACAGAACACAAAAGGAGAATATCCTGGTTCTTTTCAGTAAAATGAAAGTGGACCACACCACACACCTCTATACTCCAAATGTTCTGAATACATTCAATAGCTTTTTCTGAGGAAAAGACTGAAATTTACATTGCTATTCACTGAAAAACCTGACATTCACCCTAGCTCTCCTTGACGTGTTTATGAGAGTTTGTTTGAAAAATAGTGACATTCGATTGAAGAATCAATTGTTTTTTGGAAGAGATCTTTTCAGTGAGTTTTTTATTACTATTAGTTAATTGGAGAAGTAGTGATGTCTGATTCAAGAATAGAGTTCTTTTTAGCCAGATATTTTAGTGAATCTTTTATGAAATCTCGTTGGAGAAGTAGTGATGTCTGATTGAAGAATCAACTTGAGCCAGATCTTTTCAGTGAATCTTTCATGAGAGTTCATTAGAGAATTAATGATGTTTGATTTAACAATCAATAGTTCTTTTCAGTTAGATCTTTTCAGTGAATCTTTCATGAGAGTTCACTGGAAAAGTACAGGCTTGATTCAAGAATCAATAGTTCTTTGCACTCAATGACCTGGTCTAAGCAGTAAACAGCTCAACAGAAGAAAAGATTAGTAGTAAACAGTGATTATTCAGGTAAATCCCTTAAACTTTAGTATTATTTGCAAATCCATGCAAAAACCAACTTTATTCAAAACATCTCCTTTTGTATTTTATGGAAGAAAAACATGTTTGGAGCAGCACAAAAGCGAATAAATGATGACAGAATTTTGCACAACTCATTTAGTTGGATTGTTTACATTAGAAATATGTCTGCATTCCTCTTCTCTTACGTAAAAGCAAGGACGGGCATCGATGTAGACGATGTTTTCTTAACTTCTCAGTGATTATACCTCACTATCTACCTTTTTGGCTCTCATTCCCTCTTCATTCTTCCTCTGTTCAGTACTAGTGATGGCAATCTCCATCCTTCTGCCCTCATAAGTAATGTTCTGTATCTATCTGTGCCTTTGCATTCTATCAGCCAAGCTCAGCTCAGAGACGATGCCTGAAAGGAGGCCTTATGGACAGATGAGGCAAACTACAGTACACACTCATCAATAACCTGGCAGGAAAGCACACACAAACGATAACAGAATCCATTCCTGTTAACTAATCATTCCCAGTGAACCATCTATAAATCAAAAACCCTACCACTGTTCACCCACAACCCCCTTTTTTCATGGGTGGCTGGGGATGAAAGATCTTTAACCTTTTCCGTGGATTTCTGGATCCCTTATGCCATCATAGCCCCTTTGGATCATATGACACTTGACTTTAAAGGCCGTTCTATGCCAGTGAAATCAAAAGATGAGTGCATATAAAACATTGCTTCACTTGTAAAGATTTATGTTTTGCATCAACACAAGCCCTCTTCATCTATACTTTGATCTCACAATCAAAAGTGGTGGTCACACCATTGCTCGGTAAAATTTTGCAGCTGAAATCTAGTCATTTAAATACAGATCCCCAAAAGGAACATGGTGATTGTGATAAATAAGGGGAGGAAAGTTATTTCAATGCTTTTGTGTTGTCTTGCAAAACTACTCTGTTCCCCCAGGAACTTTTGCACTCATTCATAATAATACTGCATTCCCCTGAGGAACTTTGAGTTTGCTAGCAAAGATTGTGCCTTCCCCTGACAGACTTTGCATTTACTCCCAAAACTTTTGTGATGGACATAATATGAGGTGGGAGAAAAAAAATTAAATTTCAGTGTTTTTGTAAGCGAATACAACTTTTCTCAGGGGAAGCAATACTTTTGTGAGAGAATGCAAAGATTCTCAGGAAGATGCAATAATTTTGTGAGAGAACTCAATTGTTTTGCACAAGAACATAACATTTCTTGAGGAATACAATATTTTTGTGGGAGAATGCAAAAGCATGGAAATATATTTTTTCCTCCAATTATATTTTTTTCCATGATCATTAGGCGCTCTGTATTCCAATAAGAATCCGAGTGTTTGGGAGTTTCTAGTGACAGCGAAAAGTTCCCTACGCAGATTTTGCTCATGTTCAAATTGGTCATGCAAATTCACTGTGTTGGCCAACAAAAAGCTGCTTGGTTTCAAACAACTTCTGTTTGAGCAGCGCTTTATTGCACTATTGTCAATGGACTTATGCTCTACATAGAGCAGCAACTCAAATGTACTTTTGATTGCAATAGACATTAATGTTAAAGGGCAGAATCATCGCTATATCCGGTGCAGGTTGTTGCTATTGAAATTTTGTGCCGGTCCCACTCAGTTAACTCGACTCATAATCGTCACCACCTTTCTCACCCCTAGTGACAGGCCTGTTAAAGGTATAGTTCACCTGAAACTTCTGTCATCATTTCTTTCAACTTTCTGTAATCTTTTACTGACCCTCATGTAAATCAAAATTTGTATGATTTTATTTCTTCTCCAAAACAACCACTGACTTAGTGACCACTGACTTTCATTGTGAAAAAAAAAACACAAACATTTCTCAGCATATCTCTTTTTATGTTCCGCAAAAGAAAGACAGATATGAAGATAGGTAAATTATGACAGTTTTCATCTCTTTAACGCATTTTTTCATCTCTTTTTGATGCAATACTCTAATAAACATAAAATGTCCAGCATATAAGAATTACAGCTTTTACCACATCCATCTGTATTATGTAGGGGAAAAAGACATTTACTGACTCGGCCAGCAGTCTCATCTTAACATTGTGAAACCGTTAAGACAACTTTATGAAGATATAATACAAGATAATACTCACCCCCAAAGCTGTGTGTATCGTCATAAGTGCCAATAAAAGCCTCCTGCTGGAAAATAAATGAATGAGACATACTGAATAAGACATTAGTAATTACTATGGCTCTGTCCCAAATGGCAACCTAAACCCTTGCGGTCTTCCTCCGAGTCCACACTTTCGTGACGTAATGCCACTTTGACTGTCGGGTAGAAGTCCGCTGTGAAGCTCGCCCCAGTGCAGGCTCAGCAGAAGTGTGGATCAAGGGCACATGGCGGCCGCAAAGGGGGCGCTCGCGAGCACCCTTCTGAACGTAAAAATGACGAATGGGACGCTCTACGGTCTTGTGGACTTAACGGACACGCTCACGCGGTGGCCATTGTAAGTCCGTAAGACCGCAAGTGCACATGAAGTGTTCCATTTGGGACAGGGCCTATGACGAAGTTAGGTGGCTCTTTCAGGAACATATACATTACCATTCAAAAGTGTGGGGTTCTTTAATATTTTTGAAAGAAGTCTCTTAGGCTGCATTTATTTGATTAAAAATACAGTAACAATTGTATTATTGTGAAATATTTTTACAATTCAAAAAAGCTGTTTTCTATTTTAATATATTTCAAAATATAATTTATTTTGGTAATGGCAAAGCTGAATTTTCAGCATTATTACTCCAGTTTTCAGTGTCACATGATCCATCAGAAATCATTCGAATATGCTGATTTGCTGCTCAACAAACATTTCTTATTATTAATAATGCTGAAAACAGTTGTGCTGCTTAATATCTTTGTGGAAACTGTGATACATTTTTTCAGGATTATTTAAAACAGAAATATTTTATAGCATTAAAAATGTATTTACTGTTACTTTTGATCAATTTAATGCATCCTTGCTGAATAAAACTATTAATTTCTTTAAAAAATCTCACTGACCCAAACTTTTGAATGGTATATGCAATTTTCTATGTGACCTCCTTATAAAAGCAACATTATACCTATGCCAGGTGACGGCAAACATAAATCCTGAGGACAGTGTTTAAGATAAGATGTTTTTGATGAATACATAATTGTGTTATTGATGTAGGTATCTAATCAGCTGATTAGGATTTGTTTGATCTAATTGAATTATGATAAATGTCAAAAGATGATTGGAATATTAAGACAATAGGGACTCTTACAAGAGAAGGAGGCTGGTTGAGGTGATCTGGCGGGTGCGTGTCATCTCAGCCACCAATCAGGGCATGTGCTACCTGTTGATATATATATCCACTGCCTCAGAATGGTGTGGTCAGTGATGTAGCTATGGCTCCTGACGTCCCCACTGACAACTCATCCACCTGAGAGGAAAATCAAGAGATGGATGAATGGGAAACTCACTGCACAAATATATGGATAAATAATGGTGTAACTGACAGTTAGGTAAAGGCAGACAGGTATACAATTAGATGTTATAGATAATATTTCCTGTGGCTGACAATACGGTGGAGGTGGTGATGTGAGAAGAGGGGGTGAGAATGAAAGAGA